TTACCAATAGATTTTAATATGTGGCTTCAGTTTATGTGAAATTACATTGAAATAATTACCTTCGTTAGATTATGCTGAAGCAAGTTACCAAGTTGAGATGTGTGACCTCATCTGATGGGACCAAATAATAACAAGGGAGTCAGATGTAGGAGTTTGCCCTGAAATGGAAAGGTTGACAGTTTTGTCTTTCAGTGTCGTTGTGTCCTTGGGCAAGACACTTCACCTGCATTGCCTACTGAAGGTGGTCAGAGGGCCGGTTGGCGCTAGTGTACGGCAGCCTCGTGTCGTGGGAAAAAATTATTCAACTATTCACTGCAGTTAAATAAACGGAGATCGATGGACTTCACTCAGTCGGCACTTTATTTCTTCTTTGCGAAGAGAGAACAGTTCATCATACAGCCCTTTCTGCTTGGTAATCAGCCCTGCTCTGCCTGGGCAGCGTTCATTCCCACTTACTTACAACAATGGAAAGTAGTCAGGGACAAAACAAATTATATGCACTTTATTTAAATAGTAACATGTTACGAATAAACCTTGAGAAAGAATCTGGTTCGTGAAACAGACTGAGTAAAAACACTTTTCAGTGGATAAATAGTATAATTCAATATGTGAAATAGGAGACATCTAAATTTTCCAACCACACCCGTTTCAGTCAGTGAGCCCCAGGGCAGCAGTGGCTACAATGTAGTTTGCCACCATCAGTGTGTGAGTGAGTGCGTAAATAAATGAATGACTGAATGTAGTGTAAAGCGCTTTGGTCAAGTGTGCTGACTTGAAAAAGTGCTAAATAAGTACAGGCCATTTACCATTTACCAAACATTTGTTAATGATTAAGAGAGTTATGTGTGAGGGGGGTACTCATAAATGTTTTTTTAATGGTTAGTGTATGATAGACTGACTGTATCTGGAATTTAGGTGGCAACAATCGCTTCAGAGTGTCAGGTCAGGACACTGTAGGGATGTTCAAATGCTTGCAGTAAGAAGAGGCAGACTCCTTTAATCAGGTTTGATTGATTTATCTGCATTTAAGGACCTGTTGGGGGTGTGTGGTTTTACTCTATGGATGCACACACTACAGATCATTAAACCGATGTCTGCTCCGGACTGAGTGCTATTCATGTGGTGCGTTTAGGAACCTTGGTAAGGTAGGAATTTTCATGAACAGGGATAAACTTTTTTACAGTTATAATAAAGTCATGGTTAACAACTTTAATGGGCAGTTTCACTTCACACTACAGAAAAACTGGTCATGTAATGGCCATAGTGGTTACTCAATGGTTAATAGGTTTAATGTGTGATTTCACTTGAAGATACACAAAACATTTACCTAGTAAGCAATAATGAAGTAATGGTGATGTAATGGTTAATGAGGCAGACAGTGGTTAGCAAATGGTTTTGGAATACTACGTAATGTTTACCTTATAGTGAAGAGCTGATTTAGAAGTTGCAAAGAAGACATCATGATGTGGTTTCACTTATGTGGTTTTCACATCCAAGGGCTCCAAAGCACTTTATACTACATTCAGTCATTTACGGACCCACTCACGCTGATGGTTGGAAGCTACATTGTAGCCAATCCTGTGTTCTCTGGCACATGCCAAGCACCCTGTATGGTGTTGGGCTGTGAGCACAACCTCGATCTATGGATGATGGGCCTCATACCATCTTGATGGAGTCAGTTTCTAACGGTTTGTGCAGACAGATGCAGTTTTGTGGCCTGATGGAGCTCATTTTACAGGGTTCGGGCAGTGCTCCTCCTGTTCCTCCTTGTACAAAGATGTCTATGCCATTTGCACAACAGCATGCACAATTGATTGGCTAAGCAAACAATTTTTATTTCAGAGAAGTATTTTATATATATATATATATATATATATTCACTATTTTCCTTCAAAGTTCAGTAATGGGATTATGGTTCAGTAACAAATTTTGATCATCTTCAAAACTTTAAAAACAATTCATCCCTAAACTGCTCTTGGCTTCACCTTTTACTCCTGCCACCATCAACAATCAGAATCAACTTTATCAGCCAAGATATTGTGAACAAACAAGAATCTATGATTTCAAGAACTCACAGTGTTGCTATTAAGTGTAGATAAAGAGGAGGAAATTAAATGGGGATAAAATAAGCGTTAGAAAGGTGAATGTATATCCGTTTTCTTTTTATCTAAATGTAAAGAAAACAAAAAATGGAAGGTTGTGGAAATGCAAATGTTCTTTTGTTGGAAAGCAAAGCAACTGACTATTCAGGCTATAAGGCGATTATCAGAGAGTCTGCTTGGAGAAAGAAACTCTGATGCCTTTTTTTTGTAAATACTGCACTGTATTGACGACCTGTTGGTAAAAATCCAACGTTTGTTGTGTCCAGGATGCATGAGGTCTGCAAATATGTTAATTGGCTTTTTTTCCTGTGTAGTAGAGGAATTTTTTGTCTTTGCTTGCAAAAGATTTGAACACTGGACACAGTCATAGATCACTATTATTCACATTCATATGCATTGTATCCATTTTTCCAAGGAGTACAAAAGTCCATCACCAATATCCTGCAACGATTTCTGCAGTAATTCAAATATATAAAAACTGTACAATAAAGAGAAGGTGATGTATGGAGGGATTGGTGATTTGAAAGAATAGAATGAGGAGTTGATGCACTGATAAACACTGATGGTTGACAGATAGAAGCAAACTGAAATGCAAATCTATTTTTCCACAGTAATGCAGACCTTTAGTGTTTAGGAACTCTAACATGATTAAACTCATTGAAGTACTCCTGTGTGAATTAGATTTTCTAAATGCTTATTAAATAATAATTACATACAGACGAAGTCCAGAGAACAAATTATGACTAATTTCTGAATTAAAATTTAAATTCCAGGAGGGACAAAAACCATAACAATAAACACAGAAAACATAAGAGTTGCTTTTGTTATTTGATCGGAAAATAACTATTTTTTTTCAGTCGGGATTTAAAAAAAAAACACACCACAGCTTTACATCAATGGTTCCATAAATATCAAAGCAGATCCTTTATTCTGTAAAACTATATGACCAAACTTGCATAGGGAGACAGTGAAAGGATGAAGTCCTGTTAGAGACCAAGTTTAGATCTAAATAATACATTTCATAGATCATTTAGTTAAAAAATAAACGCTTTTGCTCAAACTTGAGGAACAGTTCAAGACCTAAAATGAGAACTGAAAAAGAAAATGAAAATTCCTTGCTTTAAATCTGTTTTATACATTTAGTAGAAGTTGGGCTCCAAAATACAAGCAGTTATTTTTTCTGGAGACACATACCACAAAGACATATTTAATCCAGTCTAAACAACAATTTTACTTAGAGGTCTGGGTGGCCGTCTCTTTTCTTTACATACCTGAAACTAGAACATTTATAAACCCTTTTGATTTGTTCTTTTTCATTAATCTCACTACTTTTCTCTCTGGTACATTAAACCAATTTTCTCTGCCCAGAATGTCAGGATGAAAACATTTGAGCAATGCATCCTGGGTATAAATCAATTAAAGTGAGGATGCTCTAAAACACTGCTTCAAGGAAAAGAGTTGACACTTTCAGGGTAAAAAAAAATATAATCTGAAATGTATTAAACATTAACAAGGCATCTGATGCTAATATTTTAATTACATACCATATATTTCTCAGCATCATTTTAGTTAGATTTTTACTTAACCCTTCTGAAGTTTAACCATATAGTTTCTGTTTTAATGCAAGTAAATGTTATAAAAATAGTATTAAGGTTTCAACTACAAATAGAGGCTGTTTTAGGGCGTAAAGGTTGCTCTGACACACACACACACAAAAAATAAGATTTAGAATGTATCTATGGAGGGTCGAAGCGACACAATCCAATAGATAAATAATCTAATAATTTATTGATCATGACAGTGATATATACAAAAAAAAAAAATAATCCACCAATAAAATCACATTTATTTTAATAATTTAACTGTATTATGAACAGCTTAATATATCTCAGGGTTTTTATTATTATTTTAGATTTAAAAAAAGAACAAAACAAAAAAGCTGAATTTAAATTTGCCCTCTGAGAAATAAAAGCAAATATGGGATTGGTTAACTAAACCGTAGACAAATCATCCCGTCTATAAAAATATAAGCCCCGCCCACTTACTGTGACAGATGGGCTAAAAAACGTATCTGAATTTTCCTCAGTAAAGAACCATGAATTCATTTTACATTTAAAATATTCATATATGCTTTTATCTTAAAAAACGACATTTTGGTATTGCACCTATCAAAATATGATATAAATCATGTATCTTCAAAACAAAAATGTATTTTTAAATGTATATAAATATTCACTTAACCCTTTAAAGCCCAGTGTATCATATTTGACACAATTTTTTAAGATTTCTGCATCATCAGTTTGATGTTTTAGTTGTTAAGTGACTTAAATATTCAGATTCTACGGAGTCCCTAAAGGGACATGGAGGGGAAAAAAAGAACTTTTGCGAGATCTCGCAAAAGTATTGCGGAATCTCGCTAAAGTTTATTTTTTGCGAGATCTCGCAAAGGTTTTGCGGGATCTCGCAAAAGTTTATTTTTTCCCTCCATGTCCCTTTAGGGGCTCCGTAAGATTCACATGTAGTGAACAGAAAATGTATAAAAGATTATACAGAACTGAATAATGTATCAAATTTGATGCAAATAAATGATCTAATTTTACTTAGACATTTTTTTAGAAAGTTCAATGACATTCTAATTTTGAAAAACTTGAATGTTCTTTCAATTATTTCATGGTTCAGGCTTTAAAGGCTTAAATATTTAATGATTTCTTTAAATATTGCAGTGTGGTACTTTAACCCTAGATGGAATGAAGCTGCTTATTAGGGAGAAGCAATGAATCTAATAAAACAGATTTCAGGTCCTTAACCCACTGGGGAAAAATTCAGCTGAAATAAAGAATAAGAAATTCCTCTTTTAGTTTCCATATCAGTGTCAGACCTTTTTCACCAGAAACATGAGGGGGTTTGTTTCTTTAATGTAGCAGAAGCATTTGTCTCGGAGCAAACACTGAAAAATATCAAAACACATTTTTAAATCCACACAGGCTACACAAAGGGATCATCAATATCCCACAGGAAAAACAGAGGAGAAAAAAAAAAATACAGGACGGTCTTTGAGGGAAAAAAAATAGCTACATCTCAAAATATTAAATATCAACAACTTTGTTTCAGAATATAATCTTTACAGAAAGTGTGAAGCCTGCTGTGCTAACCGGGTGATCGCTTTGAAAGACAGTTATTCGTCACATCAAGTGGTTTATTCATTCCAAATCTGATACATTCACTTGACAGATTAGAGTGAGTGCTTTTATTAATAAATCTTTCCAGTCTTATCTCCCCCCCCCTGAAAGAAGCAGTTCAGAGTCCTTCAGTCTCGCTCACGGTAAGCCAACGCAGCTCTCCATCCCCCTTTCCCTCCTCTCCTCCTCCACTTCTCGCCCACCGGAGCAGTCCATTGCCTCTCCGCTGTCCGTTTCGCTGCCCGTGAGCATCGGAGACCAGCTCTCCCCGCTAGTGTCCTCCGTCCTCGCCTCCGCGTCCCCCCCTCCTCCCTCGTTGGCCCCTCCCCTCTGCCTGCAGAAAGGCGGGATCTCCACCACCACGAACTTTCTGGCCCAACAGCTCAGCGCCGCTTTCTGTCGGATGTCGTTTAGTATCGGCCCCGTGTCGGTCTTGGAATTGGTTGCTGAAAGGAAAATATCGATATTATCAGAAGTTCAATAAATTCGACAGCTTTATTTCAGACAAATGTTAGTGCTCTGATGCAGGTTTTGAAGGGAATCATCTTATATTCACTCATTCTTCTAAATCAGAGACATTATAGTGTTTTTAGCTGATTCCAAGAGACTGTTTAGTTGTTTCCTCCACAAATTCTGGTATTAGCATTAGAAACTATCTTACCAGAGCAGCCTGGACAAACCATTGTTCTCAATTAGCTACATAATCTGCCTCCTTCCTTAAACAAAGGTTTGACACCTGACCAAATAAATCACCACACTGTCACTTTAATTTATAAAATCCCCCAACGTCTGTCATGATTGTCGGCTTTTCATCACTTTACCACACCTGCTAATAAGTTATTGCGAGTGCAAACAGGAAGTATCTCCCGCTAGAGACATTTCCTGTTACAACTGCCGATGGTGCTTGGATGAACGCCTTTGTAATTCTTTTTATGATTAAACCTCCTTAAGGATGGTTCAATTTTGAATGTTCTTCTGACAGCAGCACCTCGGCCATGCAGGAGCTTTGGCATCTCTTCTTTGCAGTGTTTGGGTTTCCTGTAATGAACATCCAACTGGGTCTAAGTTTCAGCCATTATCCCAGTGGTGATTCTAAACTAAATTTACCAGGGACACAAAAGAAAACACACACACAAAACAAAACTGTTGCAGGAGGAGATAGTTTAGTGGTTTAGTGCATTAAGTGAGCCACAAAGCCAAGATGGCAGACTCCTGATCCAACAGAGAAAAACTGTGATCCTATCTTAGTTCAGCAAAAGCTTAAAACTGACTATCATTTCTAAATAATTGCTAATCTGTCAAGGCAAAATATCAAACTGATCAAAGGCTCAAATCAGTCTCAGAATCAGTCATAAGAAATCAACGATTTAAAAAGTAACAATTCTTCTTCTTTAAAATGCACATTTGCCTTTAATTTGAGCAGGAAAATAGGATCATCTGCTAAAGAAAGTAGCATTTCTGCTCTAAAATATAAGATAGTTATATATTATGCTGCACAGTGGGCGGTTTGTAGTGTTGCTGCCGTTCAGCAAGAAGGTTCTGGGTTCAATTCCCAGCGCCGGGTCTTTTTACATGGAGTTTACATATAAAAAGACCTGGGAATGGGAAAGACCCGGTGCATGAGTGGGTTCTCTCCGGGTACTCCAATTTTCTCCCAATAACACTGTTAGGCTAATTGACATCTCTAAATCATCCTTAGATGTGAGTGTGTGCACATGGTTTTATGTGTTGGTGTACCCTGCCTTAGGCCCTTAACAGCAGGAGATATGCACCGGCCCCACCGCCACCCTGACAGAATAAGCGGGAGAAGATGGAAGGAGCTTATGCTCTTGAAATAAGATCATTGAGATGTTTTTTTTCTTCCTTTAAATATAAATCATCTTATTTAGCAGGGCTCGATGTTAACCATCGCCAAATCTCCCGGGGCAAGTAGTTTTTATTGTTGGGAGAGTACAAATTTCATTGCATTTCCCGCCGGGCAAGTGCAATGATCGCAAAAAAAAATCATTTATCACTCAAATTTACTTTAAAATCACCGACATTCGATGAAAACGACCCAGAAGCGTTGCAGGCGCCATTTTTGTTGTTTTGTACACCGGATGGTGTGATTTTTGTCCACCTAGCGGTTATTTTGATGTAGTTACCAAAACAACAAACAAGCTAGAAAGCTCTATTTTACCAGTGTTTCTGTATAATTTTATTCGCATAATCACTCAAAAATCACCTACATTCTAAGAAAACGACCAAAAGCGTTGCCGGCGACATTTTTGTTGTTTTTTACACATTCTCGCGTGATTTGAAAAAAGCTGTGTGATTTTCCGCCAGATGGCGTGATTTTTGTCTGGGAATTGGCGCGAATCAGACACATTTTTTCCGACTTGGCAGGCTAACAAACAACAACAAGGCAAAAAAATGTAAGTACAGTAACACACCCACCACCCATTTCAGCCACTTAGCATCAGAGATCCTCTTTACCCACCACCCATTCTCATCCATTCACTAAACATCCAAAAAAACATTTAAAAAACAAACATGTTTCATTGATATATATACAAAAATGAATGTTAGGAACTATATTTATCAAACATTAACCTGGCCAAGTAAAAATTGTTTCTGGGCAAATGAAATGTGAAAGTCACTTGCCTGAAAATTCCTTAACGTCAACCCCTGTTTAGGTTGGAAATTGTCTTACCTTCTTAAATTAAGGAAAAATAGCCTCTCATTAAGACAAATTTAGGTGCCAGGACCAGTTGGATAGGGCCCCTATTGGCACCTGTCTAGAACCGCCCATCCATCTTTCCCAGGTCTAATGTTCCATGCTGAGCTTCAGCGCCTCTGGCAGTAACAGATACCCTCAGCACTGTGCTGATCATCTGGAACATTGTTAATGTTTAAAATCCGTTCTAAATCCCACCTCTACCCATGTAGAAAATTCGCAGGATTGAGCTTGAAGTTTTATAAAAACAAAGTTGTTTAAAGGAAGCCATGTGGTCCAGATCCACCATGCTAAAGAGTTGGGATCAGAATGATAATCCTCCAGGATTTCACTCCTATTTTAATCAACACAAAAGGCTCCTACATGTTCAATGAACCAGAGACTGACAGAAACAATCAAAAGGATTTATATAAGTGATGATCATATATGTTCTTTTCTGGGGTTGTTCAGTGAACTTACCTGGAAGCGTGTTGGAGAGCAGAGCAGACGTACAAGCAGCAGAACCAGTGATGTTGGAGCCAATGGGGTCGACCAGGTAGGACATCTCAGAGCGAGGCAGCTGGGGGGACACCGGCAGGGAGTGGCACTGCCTCCCAGGCAGCTGCTGCCAGTAAAAGGACGTCTCCTGCTGGGATCCTGGGGGTCCGTAGGCCTGGTTACTGAACACGCTCCCCGGAGGAGAGTGCAGGTCAAAAACCAGCGAGAAGACGGACTTGCTGGGCACGTCGAAAAACTTGATCTTCCCCCCGCAAAGGTCCTCTCTGGCGGTGAAGGGGTTGATCTTACGGGTGCGGGGGCTCCTCTGAGAGGTGGGCGGGTCGTAATAAGGGTCCTGGACGTTGATGTTTCTCCCTGGCTTGCAGGAGAAGATGTCCGACTGACTGCGGCTGAGCCAGATGTTCCGTCTGGGCCGAGGCGATTTGGGCGGGATTTTATCGTTTTGGCAGCCAAGAGGATTCAGTCGTTTGAAGCCTTGAATTTTCTCCGCTTAAATAAAAAAAAAAAAAAAACAGAAAGGTTTAATTTTTCAAGTTTTGATTAATTTATTATCAATCTTTTATCTGACAGTACTCCCAACTAGTCACATCACTCGGTAACTCACCAGCAGCATTAAATCAACACTTTTAATACACTAAAAAAACTAAAACACAAACGCTAAATGATATATCTTCTTGTTTTGATCACACATAATTCCTATCTAATTACGATTAAATGCTGGATGTAGTGCTGACAGGCTTCAGGTCTATTTCAGTTTATCTTACTGCCTAGCATTGAATGAAGCTATCTCTTTGACCCCAACATCATGCAGAACTGGAAAAGACAAAAGTTATATAAGGTTTATTAATTGCTTTTCTCTGACTTCCTCTAGAACTCAGCAGGTTGAGATAACTCTTACAAAAAGAAACACAACCAAAATAAAATGGAAGGAAACCTCTCCACCGTGCAGCTCTCAAATCTCTATAAATGTCAACATTTTTCTCGTAATAGTTCATGTTATGTCAGAAAATAATAACACAGCCCAGATTTTTACAGCAGCAGCGTTTTAAGCAATACCCTGAGATTGGGTCGGGGATGTCTAAAAATATTCACAATCCTTCATCCTGTCGAATCAGTAGGAAATCATCCAACTTTACTTCTTCTCCTCCCATTATATCACCCATTATTTTTAGTCACTTTATGACTTTAAGCAGCCTTTTGACTTCAAAATAAAGGGATTAACAAGAAAATTTTTCAACATAAAACATTTCCAAACAGATTATTTTGCCCCCATAAAGACTAATAATCCTCAGACATACCTTGCTTAAAGGAATTCTGCTGCAATTTATTTTATTTCTTTGTAATTTGTTAATGTGATCGATTTGGGTTAGTCTGTGAGAAGACAAACTGCATAACAAATATTGCCACTAGATGGCAGCAGGGGGTGTTGTTTACGGCTCCCTGAGTTTAGGTGTTTTCTAAGGCCATGGGTTGATTATTTATTCAGGCTTTGTGAAAGGATTTGAGTCACCCTCTGAGAAAATGTTGATTGATAGTAAGCATTAAGTTTACAAACAAATGAGTTTATCTAATGGAGCAAAGCAGGAAAAAGAACTTTACATCCTGAAAGCTAAACGAGACAAACTAACTTCACAATAACATCTATAATCAAAGAAGATAAAAGAAACTACAACCATAAATCCTCCTCCACTGCTCGGACATTGCTGTATATTTATTGTTGGAAATATTTGACTTATTTCACTTTAAAGAAGAAAAAAAGCAAATTAAGACGTTGCTCTGAAACATGAATCTCTGTCGATAAGAGAGTTAGTTGATGTTTTCAGCCAAAGCAGGAGGAGATTGTGATGTAACAACCACAAACAGCTGAGCAGTGGGAAGAGATGTCGGATCGCCTCCATGTTTTGCACAAAACATAAGAAATAATTCCTCCGTCAACAGGAATGAGATTCCTTTTTTTTCTTTATCGCGTCGGTCGGATCTACTGCTGGTGACATGCAGGAAACCAAACGGAGGCCTGAGTTAGAGGAGACACGCTGACCTGCATGGATCAGGTCTCAAACTAAAATAAAGGTCCATCTCTGACCAGATCTTCCCCTGAGGTTCAGATGAGGTATAATGATGGAGTCAGATACCAACATGACATCATCTCCATTTCCCATCCGGGATTAAATCCTCTCCGTGTTTTACTGGAATTTACGAGCTGCTTCTTATAAACAAACAGCTTGAATTGGCTGTGAGGCTGCAGCGTTATGCAAGAGCTCTCAGGGCTGTTACCTTTGGGCAAGGCTTTCTTTTCGTTCTCCCCGCTGCTGGACTCGTTTTCCATCTCTACGACTTTGAGACGTGCCAGAATTTCCTCCAGCTGCCGGACGTTTTCCGGAAACGACGGACGGAGTTTAGGATCCATCTGAAGGGATAAAATCAGATTGTTTAAAAACCAATTCAAAAAAGGCAAAAAAAAACTACCAAACATAAAAACTTTAAAAATTTTCCATTAAACCTTAAAATGTATGCAAATACCATTTGATTTAAAGACAATAGACTAAGTTTTTTTTAAACATCTATAACAGCAAAAAGAAAAGGTTTAATTGTTGAAAAAAATTCTCTTTGCTTCCTCAGTTTTGAGCCAGTCACTGATGCACCTTTAAATTCACTCCCCTCCCATCATTAATGCCATTTATAACCTGGGACATTAAAGGATATTTTGATCACATGCAGGAAGGTATTAATTAGTTTGAATTCTGGCCACCCCCTTTGTTCAGGCTGGGTTTCTCTCTTCTTTAATAACAACATTCCCTGCTAAAGGATCGCCCCGCTTCTTTTAGCTCCATCCTTCCAATCACCTCTGGCCTGTTTCCCCGTCTCTGCTTCCCCACAGCCTGATCCTACCACTCATGTGAGGAGGATAAATCCAAACCTGAGGTCATTTTCTGCAGCATCTGGTACAGAGAAATTACATTTTGCCCTTTTTTGACGAGACCTTTGCAGATTTCCCTACATGCCCACTTTCCTATTATGGTCAGATTCACCAGCTGCTTCAGCGATTCTTCTCGTTCCAGCTGAGCTGTGAATCTCTGCAGCTCCTCCAGCATCACCTCTGGCCTCTTGGCTGCTTATCTGATTCATGCTCTTCTTGTTCTGCCTGTTGGTTTAGGTGACCTGCCATCTTTTGGTAGGTCTGCATGGAAATGTTTAAAGCTAGTAATGTTTCATAACCTAACTCTGCTAAGCATTCCTCTGCAACTTTCTCCCTAACCTGTCTGTTTTATTCATGGCTTCATGATGTTGTACGTTTACAAACTTAAAACCTTCACAAAACAGCTGGATTTAATCTGAGATTAATTCTTTCATAGGTGGACTAGAATTATGAACAAAACCAGTTCTGATAGAAACTGGTTTTGGTTTTGGGGGCGTCGTAATAAATGGGGCTGAACGCAAATGCAAGTCCCTTTTTTTTATTGATTTTAAAAGTTAAAAAAGATATCCCAAAGAAAATAAACCATCTATGGCACTCCGATTATAGCAATTATATGATTATCTGGCATTGTGGATTTCATAATTCAAAATATAAATACTTTCGCATTAGTTGTTTTTTTTTATTTCTTTTAACTTGAGATTTAGCTATTTCAGCTTTCACCATTATGGGTTTTTCAGAAGCCAGGAATGAAAGATGAATCCAGGGAAGACGTCACATTTACTCTCTGGTGTTTATTCATCTAGAAAAAGCTCAAAGTTGTAAGCCAGGTTTAAATAATCCTTCATGTTTCTCCATTAGACGTTGTAGCTGGAATAAAACCATCCGAGGCGTCCACAGAGAAACAATGCAGCTAATTAGCTGGAAAGAGGAAGATAAAGAAACGGATAAGAGAGACGAGGATGATGAGACAGACAACAGAAAGGGATGAGAGGGGATAAAGGAGTCTGCACAGGATCAACTAGCAGGTAGAGCAAAAAACTTTAATACTATTATCGTCAGGAGATGTAATTAAGCTAAAAAGGAGCAACAGATAAGAAGAAATAGAAAATAAGGCCTACAGTTTCAGTAAAGTGATGAACTTGCATAAAAAAAAAATATTCCCAGCAAAATATATTTAAATCAACCACCTGAAAATATTTATACAAACCTTTTGATGAAGAGAAATAACACTACAGATTCAAGAGAACAAAATCCTGCAGACTAAATCCGATTAATCCGATAATTAGACTGCCTCTTTTTCTTAACAATGGATTTAAAGCTGAAAATAAAATGAAAAAAAAAAATCCCTCCAAAAGTGCATTTTAAAAACGAAACTTTAAACAACTTCGTCAGCGAGTGTTGTGTTCGTTTTTTCTTCCAAGCAGACAGCAGCTGCTGATTTTATCTACCAGTTTCCCACAGAAAGAGCGATCGGACAGCAGGATGGCGGACTCACGTTACAGCAGTTGAAGGCCAGCTGGAGGAAGTCAGGCGGACAGTCTCCAACCATGTGCTGGAACGTGTGATAGTCCAGGCCGAAGTTCTGCTCGGGAGGGCAGGGTGCGAAGGCAGAGAGGTTTGATGCATGACGCATGGAAAACAAACAGGAAACGCATAATAAAAGAGGGATGAAGATGGATGCAAACACGCCTCATTAGATGTTTGACATAGCGTCGCTCCCCCTGCCAAAGCCGCTCTGATGTCCCGCTAATCTCCCTGACATTGTTCTGTTGTCTGCCAAGTTCCATTATCAAACACTGTTACCAGCATCTTCTTTCTAAAATGGGATTTAGCTCTAAGCCTCTGCGATCTACACTAGGATGTAAAGGATGATCCCTTCTAGTTGTAAATATAATGACTGGATTCCAGTATTAAATAAGAGAGACTGAAGGAAGAGGTGTATCATTTTAGCATGAACCACATAGGTTAAACCATTAAAATACTGTTGGAGGGCAAATGCGTTTTAAATCTTCACAGTGCATTAATTTTCATCTATTTATTTTTGAAGGCCTCCTATATCTTTTTTTTCTTGAATGCAAAAAAAGAGAAAAAGTGTGCATTAAGAATCTGTTGGTGTCTTATATGTAACAGTTTTGTTAGCATACCACCAGCAATGCAGCACAGTACCAATTTTAAACTGGAGCTTTTAGCTGCTGTCACCTTTCTTGATGTTTTATGCATTTTGGTGCAGCTTAAAAATAAAAAAAAATCTGAAAAATCCTCTTGTGTTTAACATTTCTAATGATTATGATTGAAAGCTCAGTGTTCTAAAGCATTTTTAGCTGAATTATTTGGAAGATAGGACCAACGTTTCTGCCACTGAAGCCAGTTGAAGCATTAAACATGCCGAGTGGAGTACATTTTTATCTGTGTCAACAGAGCGTCTGCATAGAAGAGCATGAGACCAATTAATCTGTATGCTGGTGATGATTCTCAGTCCTCCAGGTCATAGTCATTCCAAAAAAGTAAAAAAAAAAACAATCCACTGGACTTTGTTTTCAAGTTTGAAGACGTTTCGCTTCCCATCCAGGAAGCTTTTTCAATTGAAAATGTCTCTGAAAGGGGGGCTCTTTCAGAGACATAGAGAGGTTTTGCGTATTACAGGTTAACAAAGAACTCAAACGACCCCCATTCTAAAGGAGCGGACCCGTTTTTCCAGTTCAATTTGCATGTTTTCTAAACCAAAACAAGGCTTTGCTTTGGTCCACTCTATAAGTCCTCGAACTCAACACTATTCCTTACTTTTTCAATTGCTAAAGCTTCCTGGATGGGAAGCAAAACGTCTTCAAACTTGGAAACAAAGTCCAGTGGATTTTTTTTTTTTTTAGGTTATTCGTGCTATAGTGAAGCTTCACTTCATTTATATAACTGGGACCCTCTGTGTTGTTTATACTGAGTCTATATATTGTGGCACATTCTGCGGCATTCTGGTTTAACCGAAGCTCAAATAACATATTCTATCTTATCTGTTCCCAGTGCTAGAGGGTTATTTACTTAACAGCATGTGCTGCTTTATAATGCTGAAAATAAGCTTGTAGATTGACACCTCTGTCCAATAGTTTTGGAAGATGAAGCTAAAAAAGAAACAATAAATTTCTCCATGTAATATGCAGTAATCTAAGTAAAAACGGCCTTAATTTATAAAAATTCATCCTCTGAGCCAAGTGACTTTTTAAATGCCACATATTTATCATTTTTAGGTCAGTATTAAGTGGCTTGGTAAAAAAAAAAAACTTTATTACCTGTTAGATAAAAGAACTGGATTAAAAACCAGAAGAAATCAGAGAAAAAGCAGCTAATACCTCATAAATCATTTACAGGGAATGTAATTACCTTAAAAATTATTGTTCCAGGCTGCACTAAAAGCTAATCTGGCTACTTAGAGGCAAAACTTTAAAGAACAGGGAGAGGCTTTAACCTTTGAACTATACCATAAATCGTTGCTTTCAAGTCCCACCTTCTTGGGGGGGGGAAAATGTGTCATGCTTAAGATTCTGTTCCTGATTTGTTTGAGATGTGTACGCTGGAAACATGTACACTCAGTATTATGAAAGGAAAGGAGGTGAAAAGGAGATGAGCCACTACCTCCGTGCGAGGAAGGAAGTCGGGGTCAGCCTGGATCCTTGCAATGATTTCACAAAGGATTATTCCATAGGAGAAAACATCAGCCTGGAAACACAAAAAACTAAATTAAACAATTTTTATGAAGACATAAACTGCTATGGTTATGATGAGAAGTCCACATTCACTCAAAAATAGGAGTAATGTCGGAGCGGTTATGGGCTTTTAATGACTTAATAATCACATTTTAATTTCAAAAAGCAATATCATTAAGCCCAGGTTTTAATCGACTCTCAAACATATGAATGAATAAATGAATTAACCAATAATTTTATTTCCTACAGTTCAGTAAAAAACAAAAACAAAGGGAACACATGAAAGTATTATGTATATTTAATGACATTTCTGAATGTTTTATGTATAATTTAGTGCTCATGTCTGAAAAGCCCTTCTCCTTCCTATATCCTAAACATCAACAATCTTCTAGATCTCTATATAAATTATCAGTCCATGTTAGCTCGAAAGTCCAATAAGTGAGCAAAGAAATTAGTTTATGTACATACAAACAAATGTACATTCATGTCTCCTAATCACATCTTCATTCATACAATTATTACACATAACCCACACAGCCACACGCATTTAAAAATATGCATGAACCTACAGTGACTAAGAGCCCTATTGGTGTTCACCGCACTTCTTCCATCTCATATCTTTTTATTTTTAGAAAAAAACAGTTTCAGCCTTTTCCTAAACAGCGTCATGCTTGGACATTGTTTTGATCCAACACTGAGATTTTTTCCATACTTTTACACCTTTTATTGAAATGTATATTTTCTTCATGTCTTTTCATGCACACAAGATTTCAAAATCATGTGTGCCACTCTCAGCAAAAAGCTTTTGTTTGGTCATCTGTTAGCTGTTTATTTCTAGCATCAATTACGAGGTTTGAAATTCTACCAGATAAGGGAATTTACGCAAGCAGGAATGAATGAATAGTGGGTTAATGTGCTCATTACTGTTGATCTGAGGCAAAGAAGAATTTCAAGTATTTTTCCCCATCATACAAGATAAATTAACCAGTTCCAATGGCAATGAAACTATAGTTTCATTTGTAGGCAGTATTGCATGATGTATGCACAGGCTAATACTTTGATCAGAAACTTTGGTATGTGTTCATCCTCTGTGAAAGTAGCTCTTTTTAAAGTTTTTTGCACTTCATTTTACACAGCCCATCTATGGCGAAGATATAAAAAAAGTAGCCTGCACAAACTTTATGTGGCATACAATGATGGCCTGAGGCTCCTACTCAAAGTGCCTAGATGGAGCAGTGCTAGCCACATGTTTGCACATAACGCTGTTCCCACATGTGCAGCTGCGCTCAGGAATCTCATGTATAAATGTATGTGTAGATTATCCGTGTCATACAATAATATAATAGCAATTTTAGTAAACCCTGTTTTTAGTACAGTGAGATTTTTCTCAAGATTGTGGAAACATTGGCGTCATCACTTATTTGTGGCTCAGTGACTGTCATGCTTCTTTTTGTTTTCTTTTTCTTTTGTTTTTACTATGGACCTCTTTTGTGTCTGAAATAAAGATTGATTGATTATAGCAATATTTACACTACCTTTTTTAAAAAAGGTGCCGAGAACGGTCCAAGCACGGTAACCAAGATAACTGCAGAGTGTAAATGGAATGCAAAACTGAACCGAGCTGGGCCAGACACAACAGAACCGCGCTAACATGGTACTTGTTCATCTGTAAGGCTCAGTTTAGGCTCGGTTCTCTGATAACAAAGAGCACATGAGCAGACCGCATCATCTCCTATTTACAGTCAGCTTCCAGTAGTTGGCGGTATTGCACATTAGTAAGTTGCTTTCCAACCGCCACAAAACAGAAGAAGAAGAACTGTAAAAATCGGCCGTTTCTCAATATGTGTACTTGTGCGTTCTCGTGTGCTTGTGAAACGTCATCACCCTCAGCCCTAGCACTGTTCCAGTTCACAAGAACAGCAGAGAATGGACAAAGTGCCCGGATGTTGTTCTTGCCCCTCCCTATTTACCCAGCATGCATCAGAGCAGACTTGTCCGCTCTTGAGATTGACAGCTGTCCCAGAATGCACTGCGGCCGCAGCAGCTTTCAATGGAGCACTCACAGAGCTCAGTGGATTAAGTTAAAAGTTCTCTTTTCTGTTTCTGTTGTTCACTAAAGGTACTTTTTAGATTATCCTAAGCGAGAACATTATACTTTTAAGCGTCACTATTTGGTCCATTTAACGATTTAATGCGATATTTAAAAAACTAATTCCGAAGTTGAGAGGACGGCGGCAACAAGTGGACTTCCGAGGCTAAACGCAGCCAGTTCTAATCCCAGCCCATTTGCAGCAGCCCTCTCTCAGCATAGCTGAGTGTGAATTACCGCTGACTCTGATGCAAAATGTTTGATTTGTGTTTATCTGACTTTGTTCATCATTATTCACCCCAAAAAAATGAAAAAAGTAAGAATTTATTATCTAGAGACTAAAGAATATTAATAGCAGGAGGTGAAATGCAGCTCCAGACGAGCTGAGCGTGTGGTGATGTCACAAGTACACTTCTGTTCCAACTGACCCATATTTATGCTGCATGCTCCCGTTCTCCCCGAGTCCAGACTTTACTGTGTTCTTCTCAAGAACATACTTTGAGAGGACACAAGTCCGTACTCACGTTCTTGTGAATTGAGAAACGGCCAACAATTGAAATCTTCTCAAGATTACACTTATTAAAGGGCTTTTTAAAGAGCGTGGTGCGACCTGGGATGACGCCAAGACTGAGGCTGTTATTGCAATTTGGACGCTAACCAGACAATGTTGGACCGAACGAAACAAAATCACATACGTTTTCCTACTAGAGAGCAGTAGTACCGTCGATCGGCAGTAGGAGGCGAGGAACCGTGCTAGCGTGCTGTGTAAATTGTTGTAAGGAACTAAGCTCGGATAACTGATCCAAGCTCAGTCCGAACCCAGCACAGATTGGTTTTCAGAAGGTTAGTTTAAAAGGAGCTTTTGCCACAGCATAATGCTTCCACCACCATGATTGTAAAGCTTGCTACTTCAGTGCAGGTTCCTTAATCTATCTTTTATCTATTTATCTAAAACCTTAATGTGGAAGGAATTAGGCTTGTCCAAATGGTTATCTGCTCACTTCAGTTATGTCTGAAGGTGTTTGGAGCAAGAGCATCTTTCTCTCATCACCCTAAGAGTCCGTGACGATTATTGGGTAGCTTCATGGGGGGGCGGAGCTTTTCCAGCAGTTTCTTGTTGATGCCAGACTTGCTTCTTGGTGGTCTCTGGTTAGTTTTTTGAACGTCTTTACCTTTTTTTATTTTTTCCCGGGGAAATGAATTTAGATCTTCTTCCAGACATTGGTGGATAAGAAACACCTCTGATCTGGTATCTGGCATGTACAACGTTGTTTAAAATGACGGTCTTGATATTAGCAGGTTTTTATTTTTATGTCTTGAATTGTATTTCCCATCCCAACTCTAAAGCAACACTTCTTCACAGAGTCCTTTTGATTTCCCAGTATTTCTGTAAACAAATCTCTGCTATGCTTCCGTGCTTAAATCCTTTTAAAGGTATAAGACTTCAGTATTTGCAATTTAAAACACTCATTTAAATATTCATGCAAACCTATTATGAATTTTACATAACATCAACAATACACTCAAATAGGTGCATCACTGTCTACATTTCCAATATTTTATTATTATTATTTAGTGGGATACAAAATGCACTTTGCACTAATAGTGACTTTACCTTCTCATTATAAGGTTCATCTCTCAACACCTCAGGAGCCATCCAGAAAGGAGATCCAACCACTGAAAGCTTCTCTCCTTCAGCACTAAACAAAACAGATGAAAAGGATGAAAGCTTAAATTCTGCATCATTAGACTGATTAAAGAAATTATCTGGTACAGAATGTAAGCACAGGTACATTAGGAACTGGATGTTCTGTTTTGCTTGGACACTCCTCTGTTTAAGCAAGAGGAGTGTCCAAGGAGCCCATTCATGTTTTAAACGGACCAGAGTTTTAACTTTAATCAATCCCAGCTCTGAGAAATCTTCACTTTGGTTTCATTTAGATTTAAAATGGATTTATTTTAATCAGGTGCATCATATCCAACCTGCAGTGTAAAGACAATTACAATGCAAGTATCTATGTATATAATTGCTTCTGTTTATGCCTTTTTGTTAAACTTGAATGTATTTTTTGTTTGTTTGTTTAACAGTGTCCTGTCTGGCAATGTGGCAATAAGAATAATTGTCTTCATGCCAAAAAAAAGGGCCAAACAGATTTCAGTTTCACAAGTGCGGCTATCGCCATAGTGTTCCGCTTGATTTATGCATGTAAAAAGCTTTATTATGAATATGCAGGGGGTATTATAAATCATATGGACACTGCAATGTAAGTAGAACAGGATGGGAAAAACAGAAAAAAGGAGAAAAGATGAAAGAGAGAAGAGATGAAAGGGAGAGAATGATAAAACATTTGCACTAGGGCTGCAACTAACGATTATTTTAAAAATCGATGAATCGGACGATTATTTTTTCGATTAATCGATGAATCGGACAAAAAATATTTTTTATACGAACCTCTTTATTCCAAAATAAACATTTTAGACAGAACAAACAAGCACACAAGTACAGGTTGCTCATTAACTGTACTGGTGCAATATGAAAAATAAATGTTTGTGTTAAAACTACGCAAACTTACATGAGAAATGTAGCTGTACATCCACAAAATATAGGCTACTTTGTTTAATAAAGCGCAAAAAAAGACATTTTTGTTTTTAAAGCCCTTAAGGGGTTCAAACAATAGGCCCCCCCATTTCAACAAATTAGTTTTTTTAGACTAGAAGAGTTCTGCCTTTTAAGACAGGAAAGTACAGCAGTTAAAGTTGCTACTTGAGAAAATACTGAACCATAGAGATAAAAATAGCCCTGTGATTCAAATTATAAATTGTATTTGGAATAAAAAATGAGAGAACTAGGGGTGCTAAAAAACACATCCTCCAAAGACTCCAATTTACATGGGAATGTGGCAGATAATTAATTGACATATTACTGATCTTGCTGGATTTTATTCTGCTTTAAATTGCAGGATCTTCTTTACTTTATCTTTGCCAGAAGATTTAAACTTTAAAAGCCTTGCCCTCATAATTTGCAAGTTAATTTATTTATAAAGTAAATGTAAACGCTGCTTAAGCTAATTCAAATGAAATTAAAAGTAAAATAAGTAGCCAACCTTATCACTGTCTGTAAACCTACTAACAAGGTAAGGAAAGCATCAGATGAGCTACCTGAGAAACTAACGTAACGTTTCCCCACTTTAAAACCAAACAAACATGGTGGTTCCGTGCCATGTTAATTTCTTTTGAAAAAAGTTGCATGTTATCACTTTTTTCGCTTTACAAAGCGCAGGCTATTTTAATTATTGTGATCAATTTGCGCCGTCAATCCCGGTGCATGCGCGCTTCATTTGCAGTCTGGACGCTGAGGCTCTGACTGCAGCGCTGAGAGGGACTCCTGCGGGAAATGCGGTTGGTGTGGGGGAGGCGCCCCACGGCAGAGTAGGAACGATACATGCTTTCACGTAAGAGTCTCCAAAAGCCGCCAGTGACACCGAAAAAAGTCGCCAGATTTGTCGCTAGTCGCTTTTTTGAAAAATAGTCGCTGGAGGGGTCTGAAAAGTCGCTGAGTTGGCAACACTGCACCTGCGGCGCTGACTCGCTCTGCCATATTTTTTTTTCCTCCTCTTTCAGTCAAGAGGCAGTGATGACGGCGCGGCGGATGACGCAATAATCGCGCAACACAACTAATCGATGATGAAATTCGTTGCCAACGCTTTTAAAAGTCGATTTTTATCGATTTTATTGATTCGTTGTTGCAGCCCTAATTTGCACTTGGCGTGTAAAACACACCCATCAAGGCGATTCGATTCAGTATCAATTTCCTGACCCAACAATTTGATTATTTTCGATACTCAAAAATACACCACGATTCGATTAATTTACATTTTTTTTTTTTCCTTACAGGCTAGACAATGTTTCAATTTTGAAATAAATCAATGAAAGCTTTAATATCGTTAGGCATTTTATTTGAGAAACAACAGCAAATAACAGAAGTAGCAAAGTTGTACTCCACCTAGGCCAATGAAAATGTCATTCACTGAAAAATAATGTGTTTATGCGAGTGAGTTTGTGCAAGTGGAAAGAGGGTAGTGGCTAAAGGATGTGAGGTAGGAGGGCAAAATAGGTTTAGCGCCACCGCAGCACGGGAGTCAGAATTACATCCAGGAGCAAATGGATAAAAATAGACCAGAGGGAAAAAAAAAAAAAAAAAAAAACATGAACCGATACAAAACTATTATCATTTACACCCTAATCTGCACCTGCAAGGAGCGATGTAAAAAGAACAATAACATACTTGAATGTTTGAGATCATCCGGTTTCAATATCGCAAAGATCATAACGTATTCAGATGATGATTAGATGCATGAAGGAAACGCAATTCTCCAGACCATCAAGGAAAGGTAACATAAAACTAATAACTAATATTCTGCTGAGATTTTTTCACATTTTCATATTCAAGTCTTTGATTAGGGAACTTGAAAACCTACCTTTGGACACTGAAACTTTAGCTCAGAGTTTCTCATTTTGCTAAAAGTTAAACACTGACAATGCCTGAGGCAAGTGGAGCCTTAAGTGCATTAGATGTTGTTTTGGATTCTTTGTTTTGCTCTTTCTAGATAAGATAAAGAAGCATTCAGAGAAAATCTGACAGGGTGCCACTCCTGCATAGTTTCACCACCGTTCCATGTTTCCTGCACCTGTGGATAATGGCTCCTATCGTGGTTCGCTGGAGTCCCAAAGCCGCAGAAATGGATTTAAAACTCTTTACAGACATAGCAAGTTACTCTGCTCTTCTTCTCTTTGTGAAATTCTTTAAAATGAGGCAATGTTTTTTTTTTAGATATTTTAGCCAACTTGTCGAACAAGTTTGAATCTAATTGTCTAATAAAACATTTTGTTTGATTAAAACAGGTTAGTGTAACAAAAAAACAAAACAAAAACAGACAAACTCTGTAGAGGCGCATCTATATTTTTATATCACTGTTTACAGCCTTACTCTTTGTAACACCTTATTAACCTCTGGAGAATACCAGAAGACTTATCTGGGACGTTCATTTATAACTGTGTGTTCTTAAATACATTCCAGAGAGATGAAAGCAGACTCCCTGCTTCTTTATATTACTGCAGGATTATAAAGCAAAAACCCTGGGCTGGCAGGATCCTCCTGCAGAACACCGAGGCAGAGAATGTGAAGAGTAGAGGCAGCTTTTAGTGACCTATGTGCTAATAAATAACCCCGGGATGAGGAGGAGGAGGAAGAGGAGTAACTGAGCTGAGGCTGCTGTAGGAATGAAGAGCTGACATCAACAAAAAGATGATTAAGGAAATAAAATTCTTAAAGTGTGACATGTTTTCTCTGAGGGAACCTATAATGAGTGTCCTTTATTTGAAACATAAATAAGTATTATAAATAGATGTGATATTTCACAACAGGGTGGGAAATGAAGACAGGAATAAGCCTCAATAGTTTTTAGACTAAAGAGCAGATTAGACTTCTGCAACCGCACACATCAAATGTCGCTTGCGTCTGGTCATGAACCAGTCTTGCTGGTGTGCCTCTGCACCGTCGGTCTGGAATTTCTAAGCACCCACAGCAGTTTCCCGCAACTTGCGAGAACTTCTGCGGATGGTCACGTGAACAATCGTGCAAGTGGTTTTTACTTCCGAACCTCCTTGATCAACCTTTTATCGTGGTTATCCATTGTTCTTATTAATCCTCGGTTTTTAAAAATGGCGCGCCCCGGCACAGAATCGAGAAGGACGACCACACAGACAGCCGGAAAGGCATACCAAGGACCAATCACAGCTGCTTTTTGTCTGCACGGGATTGCGACCGTCCGATGTGTAGTCAGGATTTTTTTTTGGTGAGCAACGATGGATGCAGAGCCTCTGCACAGAGAGAGATTTGACGGTTGCAGAGGCTATGCGTCAGAAGCAGAAGTTGGCCTTAACAACCTTTAACACACATTAGGGAGATAAAACAGAGCCGGTGTTCTGTCAGATGAGCATACCCCGTCAGACCAGCATACCCATAGTCAATACCCGTTTATCTCTTCAATTTATCCCTTTAGTTTTTTATGCAAAATACACTTTAAACTACCTCAACGGACGTGTATCTCTTTAGTCATGTACAAAAAACTATTTAATGACTTACTATTTGGTGGTTCTTTTACGCGTATGGCGATCTAACCTTAAATTGTCTTTTTTTTTTTGTATGTGACTAAAGAAATCCGTGGCCGTCGAGAAAGTTTAAAGTCTATTTTTTGTACAAAACTAAAAGGGATAAATGCAAATATGACGTCTTGCGCATGCATATTGACTATGGGTAAGCTGATGCTGATCTGAGGGGGTATGCTGACCTGATAGAACAGCAGCCTTCATTCTAAGTCCTGTTTTATATTCGGTTTTCTTTCCTAATTTGTTTTCTGGGAAAGAAACAAGTCATTATGACTGAAACCTAAACTATGACTATGCCTCTTCTAGTTTTTTTTTTCTGTACTGAAAATTCTCCCCGATGTCCAACAATCACTTTGACTCTTCTTACAGTTTGTTGGGGATCTTCTCTGCCAGGCCGAAATCTCCCACCACTGCCGTGTAGCCATTGTCCTCACACTTGATTAAGCAGTTTCTGTGAACACAGAAACCCCCAAAAACACAGAACGTTTACCGGGGGAAGTTGCAGCACACAAGGATAAAAAAAAAAAGAGCATTTTGTGGCTTTGGATTGCCAACCAAACCTATGGTTCCTATTTAGAGTAATTGCAGTGAATTTCAAGCTCAGATGCTTCCTTCCTCATTGGCCAAATGTAAATAATCAACCACTAACAGGAAACTCTAAGCAGCAGAGCAGCATAAGCATGAATGATGCGTTTCTTTCAGACACTAGTCTCTATGATTAATAATCATTGCACCTACTTAGCTGAGCTTCATATTATCGCCGCTTATAGCCACAGCTTGTTTATAGACAAGGTTCTAAAATAGACTTTATGATCCATGCATACTGTACAAGGCACAACTTAAATCTCATCATTCCTTCTTTCCAAACTCAGTCATTTGCTAAAGTCAAATACTGTTAGCTTGTCTGAGGGCAACATTTTTATATCCTATCTGAGGAAGTTAAAGCCAAATGACTTTAAATGCTTTGATGAACTATAATGTTTGTAAGTCTATTTAGCCCCAAATTACTAAACATTTTAGGTTTTCCTTTACAGATAAAAGTCTGGGTTAATTTCAGCTTTAAAAATTAATATTACACCTTTAAAAAGAAAAGCTGAAAAATCTCAGAAAAACTTGTTAAGATTGAATTTTGGTCACTATCTGCATTAAGGACAGAAACACCTTCTAGTTGTGAAAATCTATTTTGAAAGAAAAACATTTTTATTGGCATTTTTAACATTTTTATGAAGGTAAGTTGGGCATTTCTTTTTTTAATGCATGAGGTTTGCAGGATCTGTTAATAAAAGTTGCTATACTCTTCTGCTCTGAACATAACTACTCACTTTCTTACTTTTTTATGACTTGGAATCTTAAATACATCAAAATTGTACTTTTTTTTTTTATCTTATAAAAATATCTACAGCTCTTCTGTTTTATTCTCCAGGGGTAAGGGGGAAATGGCTCTGTCTGGGAAAAAAATTGCTAAAGCATGGATAAAGGATTTCTACTGTACATCAGTGTATGCTTTTATTTTGGAGGGGCATTGCTTAATTTTTGAACTACTTAAACCTTCAGTTTTTGATAAAGCTTATAGTTAGAGTGGCTCACGTTATCCTGAGCTATCTCTATAGTTATGCTGCTATAGGCTTAGACTGCTGGAGGACATAGAGGACTCTTTTTAATCATTCTGCTTCATTCTATCTCTATTCTCCCCCTCTGCAGAATCTGTTAGTTCAATCTCTAATGTTATGCTCTCTCTGCTTTTTATCATAGTCTGTACCATAGTCGTCTGTTCCTGTTTGGCTGTGACACCATCCTGGAGAGAAATATCAGCTGTGCTGCTTCCATCAACACTTTGTTTATAGATGTTGAAACCCAGTCGGCCTCAGCAGATGGCCGCTCACACTGAGCCTGGTTCTGCTGGAGGTTTCTTCCTGTTAAAAGGGAGCTTTTCCTCTCCACTGTTGCTACAAGCATGCTTGGTATGAGGGATTTCATTTGAGTCAACAAGTCGATGCAATCAACTGGTTTTCCTTAGATAAAAAACCTTTAATCAATCTAACTGTATGATCTGGTTGAACTTAAGATGACATTTGCTGTGAATTGGCGCTATATAAATAAACTGAATTTAATTGAATTAAAGATGGAGATAATTTCCTGGGGATGCTACAAACATGTTATTCTCAATTCAATTCAGTTTATTTATATAGCGCCAAATTCACAACACATGTCATCTCAAGGCACTTTACAGTTCAACCAGATCATACAGTCAAATTGATACAAAGTTTTCTATCTAAGGAAAACCAGTTGATTGCATTGACTCATTGACTCAAATACAATCCCCCACACTAAGCATGCTTGTAGCGACAGTGGAGAGGAAAAACTCCCTTTTAACAGGAAGAAACCTCCAGCAGAACCAGGCTCAGTGTGAGCGGCCATCTGCCGAGGCCGACTGGGGTTCAAGGAGACAGAAGCAGAGATACAAAAAGCAGCTGTAAAAGGCGGCCCCGTCCAGGAAACACGCAGCCAGGCAGACGAGCTCCAAGGCAGCTCCCATGCCAGAGGACGAAGAGAGCACATCCACTCAGTCACGGTCAGAGAAACAGGACCACACTGGAAAACAGGCCGATCTCCAACATCTATAAACAAGGGTGTTGATAGAAGCAGCACAGCTGATGTTTCTTTCCAGGATGACGTCACAGCCAAACAGGAACAGACGAGGCAAAGCTACTCTGAGGAAAAGCAGAGAGAGCAGAAGGTTAGAGATTGAACTAACAGATTCTGCAGAATAGGAGAACAGAGAGAGAATGAAGCAGAATGATGAAATGGGGGTCCCTATGTCCTCCAAAAGTCTAAGCCTATAGCAGCATAACTATAGAGATAGCTCAGGATAACCTGAGCCACCCTAACTATAAGCTTTATCAAAAAGGAAAGTTTTAAGCCTAGCCTTAAAAGTAGACAGGGTGTCTGCCTCACGGACTAAAACTGGTAGTTGGTTCCACAGGAGAGGAGCCTGATAACTAAAAGATCTGCCTCCCATTCTACTTTTAGAAATTCTAGGAACCACTAGTAAACCTGCAGATTGAGAGCGAAGTGCTCTGTTAGGAACATAAGGAACAATCAGATCTCTGATATAAGATGGAGCTTGGCCATTTAAGGCTTTATATGTGAGAAGGAGGATTTTAAATTCTATTCTTGATTTAACAGGAAGCCAATGAAGAGAAGCCAGGATAGGCGAGATATGATCTCTCTTTTTAATTTTCATTAGAACTCTGGCTGCAGCATTTTGGATCAGCTGAAGGCTTTTAACTACAGTTTGTGGACTTCCTGATAGTAAAGAATTACAATAGTCCAGCCTTGAAGTAACAAATGCATGGACTAGTTTCTCAGCATCACCCCTGGACAGGATATTTCTAATTTTTGTAATGTTCCTCAGATGAAAGAAGGAAATTCTAGAAACCTCTTTGATGTGGGATTTAAATGACAGGTCCTGATCAAAAATAACACCAAGATTTTTTACTTTATTATCTGAAATCAGTTGAATCCCATCCAAATGAAGTGACTGGCTAATCAGTTTCTTTTTCAGAGACTCTGGTCCAAAGACTATAACTTCTGTTTTGTCTGCATTCAGAAGCAGAAAGTTGAGAGTCATCCAGGTTTTTATGTCTTCAAGACATGTCTGTAATCTATGTAATGGGTTAGCTTCATCTGGATTTATAGACAGATATAGCTGGGTATCATCAGCATAACAGTGGAAATTAATCCCATGCTGTCTAATAATTCTACCAATTGGGAGCATGTATAAAGTAAAGAGAATTGGTCCTAGCACTGATCCCTGTGGTACTCCACAGGTAACCTTTGAGCGTGTTGAAGATCTATCATTAACATGAACAAACTGAATTCGATCAGATAGATAAGATTTAAACCAGTCTAGTGCTGTTCCTTTAATTCCAACAAAATATTCAAGTCTTTCTAAAAGAATATTATGGTCAACTGTATCAAATGCAGCACTAAGATCCAACAGGACGAGCACAGATACAAGTCCATTATCTGAGGCCATGAGAATATCATTAGTGACTTTCACCAGAGCTGTTTCAGTGCTATGATGAGCTCTAAAGCCAGACTGAAACTCTTCAAAAAGTTCATTATGGTGGAAGTGATCGCAAACTTGTTTGGCAACTACTTTCTCAAGAATTTTGGATAAGAAAGGAAGATTGGATATAGGTCTATAATTGACCAAGTCATCTGGGTCAAGAGACGGTTTCTTAAGCAGAGGTTTAATTACAGCAACCTTAAAAGCTTTAGGTACATATCCCTGTAACAGAGATAGATTAATCACATCTAAAATGGAGGAGGAGATCAAAGGGAATACCTCCTTAAATAACCTGGTTGGAACTGGATCTAACATACAAGTTGAAGGCTTAGATGAAGACAATAATTTTGCTAATTCAGAGAGTTCAACTGGATCAAAGCAGTCTAAACCCGGTTCAGATTCCATGACTACCTCAGGTACAATCGCGGATAGAGGAGTGCTTATGATCTTATTTTTAATAAGATCAATCTTATTTATAAAGAATCCCATAAAATCATTGCTGCTAAGAGCAGGTGGAATGGACGGTTCAACAGAGCTATGGCTCTGGGTGAGTTTGGCAACTGTATTAAAAAGAAATCTAGGATTATTCTTATTCTCCTCTATTAATGAGGAGAAGTATGCTGCTCTTGCTTTACAAAGAGTCCTCTTATACAGCAGTAAACCATTTTTCCAGACAAGGAAAGTCTGGAAAAATGTTTGATTTTCTCCAGAAATCAAACTGCATCCAATACATCCCAGTTATTTATTTAATTGTAGTGAACTGGGCTGTATGATTTGGTAGCAATTAGAACACATTAAACTGAAGGGGGTCACGCAGACGGGTAGCGATGCCCTGTGACTGCACCTCCAAGCTAAACCAGGGCTCTATTTTGGTCACACCTACACTGGTATTCGATTATCTATGTATTGTTATGAGTCAGACAGGAAATGAAAACTAGTGTCAAAGTGAGATAGGGCTGAAATTAAATGTTTTAAAGAAATTGGATCAGAGCCTGTGGAGCAAGCAGTGGATTTTGATGATTAAATCCTTCATTTCTTACAAATGATGAACAGGGATGAAAGGTGAAACAATTTTTAGCCCCGTTGCCTTGTACCATTAAGTCTTGGGTTCAAACCCAAGCCTGGGTTATTTCTGCATAGTCAGTGTGGTTTCTATCTGAGTAATTCAGCTTCAACCTCTGGTCTAAAAAGAAGGTTGTTTAGTTTATTGGTATGTCTCTGTGTTGATAGACAGACTGTTACCTGCCCTTTACCCAATGAGCGTGAGAGAGCCCTTCCAGGATAAGTGGGTATAAAATGGAGGAAGGATGATGAAAAAAGAGCTAAGCTGTTGTTCTAGTACCCTGGATTTTATTTCCGTTTGGTCCTGGATCAGATCTGAACTTTGACCTTTTAACTGCAGAAGCTACAAACAATGACCAGTTAGCCTCAGCTAACCTTGGAGGTGAGGTCCCGATGGAATATGCCTTTAGAGTGCAAATACGCCACACCGCTGGCGATATCACAGGCTAGCTTCACCCTCGCCGGCCAGCTCAGGTGCTTGTTGCTGTCTAGAAGCTGCTCCAGGTTTCCTCCATTGATGTACTAGAAAAAAAAAAAAAAAGAAAAACAAACAAAATTTAACATGTGAAAGAAAATAATGATTTCAGAATTCTGCCAAAAGTGCACACAAGTAATAATATGAGCTGTTTTATTTAAAACACACAGACACAAACTGTTCCTCATGATCAGTTTAAATGTTTTATGCGTGTAGATTCCCTCCTACTCTGGAGCTGTTTCTAATGGCAACTTTGGTAACTTGAAGGTGGAACCAACTGGTCAAAGTAAACTGCATGTGATTGGCTACTTATCAGGAAATCCCACCTTTACTGTTTTGTTCTTGTTGCGACTAGAGCCATGAAGATAGGAGAGTTTAAACAAATCCATCGATGACAATTGGCAACATTTAAAGAGCAATGGAGATGCACAGAGCTTCAGCAGTTTGTGGGTAGTTAGCCGCTCACGCTAGCATTGCCATAGACAGTAGCAGGCCATGGCAGCTGTGCATGGATGCATCTATAGTGTTACATGGTGGACAGGTAAGGAGTTCAAAGAAATAATGGTTTACATCAACTTCTCAGTGGTTCACCCTTTTAAAGCTAAGTTTTGCAGGAGTTATAACCACGTTGGCTGCTGTTAATACCAATTAAGGTTATTAGTGTTTTTATATATGGAAGCCGAGAGAGGTCTTGTCCCTCAGATACTTTTTCATAGTGGTTTTCTCGAGAAAACAAATGAATTTTCTCATTATAATGATGATTTTTGTGTGTTAAAACTGATTAAATCCTTCAATACCACAACGGCGGCAGAGGAGTTATAACACTTTTATTATTATAACGAGATAGTTATGTCGTTATCTCGAGAAAACAATTAATTGTTTAACCGTGATAACGAGATAATTATGTCATTATCTCAAGAAAACAATTAATTGTTTAACCGTGATAACGAGATAGTTATGTCGTTATCTCGAGAAAACAATTAATTGTTTAACCGTGATAACGAGATATTTATGTCGTTATCTCAAGAAAACAATTGTTTAACCGTGATAACGAGATATTTATGTCGTTATCTCAAGAAAACAATTAATTGTTTAACCGTGATAACGAGATAGTTATGTTGTTATCTCGAGAAAACAATTAATTGTTTAACCGTGATAACGAGATATTTATGTCGTTATCTCAAGAAAACAATTAATTGTTTAACCGTGATAACGAGATAGTTTTGTTGTTATCTCGAGAAGGCAAAGATGTGTTGTTCTATCAGATTAGCATACCCCATCAGACCTATAGTCAATACGCATGACGTCCGATTTTCATTTATTCCTTTTCGTTTTGTAAGAGAAATACACTTTAAACTATCTCGTCGGGCGTGTATCCCTTTAGTCATGCACAAAAAAACAATTCAAGGTCAGATCACCAGGCGCTTCAAATAACACCAAAAAGAAATTCATTAAATAGTTTTTATGTACATGACTAAAGGGATACACGTCTGTTGAGGAAGTTTAAAATGTATTTTTCATACAAAACTAAAGGGATAAATGGGTATTGACTATGGGTATGTTGGTCTGACCGGGTATGCTCATCTGACAGAATATCATCATCACTGCAGTTTCAAAGGACCGTCGGGATGCAATCTTCGGTAGGATTACTTTTCAACCATCGGGGAACCTAAAAATAAAGTTCAGCCAACTTGATGGACTCTAACTGCCGTTAAAACATGATGCATATCCTTAGTGGATGAAGTGCTACGGCTCACACAGGGTGGTAGGATCATTGCAAAAATGGATGACTGCCTAAAAACCCTTATCAGCAATATATTACTTGATATTTTAAGTACGGTAGTTATTTCCTGACAATGTGCGGCTCAACTTGCATTTAACGCCTTTCAGCCAAGAACTACAAGTCTCTCCTGACTTGAAACTGAACCCTATTATATCATGCACCTAAATATACAGACTGACTGAAACTACACTGAAGTAATAACACATTTCAGAGAGCACAGGACTGAGTTGTTGAAAGTTGAAAAATGTGTAGACAAAATCTACATCAAAAAGGATCAGGGCACTGGATGCTGCAGACATGACAGAACAAGTAGTTTCTCATATATAAACATGGAGTATGTGAACAAATATAGACATTAAATAGGAAGCAAAGAGATTCATTTAACTTCCTTTGGTTAAAAACAAAAAAAAATTGGGTTTGCCGCTTTGTCAGCTTTGATCCTCAAACTTGCCTGACCTTCCTCCTGGCATGCAAACACCCTAATCCCATGTCACGTATCATGAGCAGCTGTAGTTAACTAAAGAGAGCTGGCATGAAATAAAGAGATGGTCTGGTTAAGATGTGGTTACTGACTGACAGCCACAGAATTAGAGCAAAGGCAGCAACGGGTGGCGCTGGGAGGAGATCTCTGCTCTCAGACTTGTGTTGGTTTTACTGCTTTTCTAAAACACTTTGAATTGTTACTCTATTAAATTCCCGACAGCTGGATACAGATTCACAGTTTAAACCAGATATTCACATATAATGTAAAACAACAAAAAAACAAATAAAACAGTTATTGCTTCTCACTGTCTGACCATAAATCTGCTGCCTCTTTTATGTCAGGAAGGATTGAGATGAATTGTATTTGTCAAATGCCAGAATAACGAGAAGAACCTTTTATTGCTTTCTTCACATTTACAAATATTTCTTTAGTATTAGGAGGAATTGTCTTTAAATGTATGGAACTCTCTTTGAGGCAATATCTTACAATAATTTAGTGGAACGTTGAGGTTTTCCCGCTGACAGAACTAGTCAGGTTTGTAGGCCAACTTGCTTAAACCAAACTTTTCAGCTCTGTCCACATTTATTTAAACACACTTAGTGGTGGTTCTAGATCACATTTACCCAGGGAGTCAATTTGGGACAAGTGTTTTAATGAGTTCACAGAACAAAATCAGGACAAAAATAACAAAACATAAATTTTTGAGCAGACTGACACCTCAGTAATTCAGCTAAAGCTTTGTGATGGTCACTCAAAACACTGACTTGGTTATCCTTAAAGGTATACTATGCAACCGGTGTTGATTTTCCAGCGAGGCTCCCCCCAGAGGGCGAAAGTAAAAGTGCACTGTCCTAAAATATGCTCAGCTGTTCTCCTGGTTTCTCCATCAAGCCAGGCGCGGTTGTTTTGAGCTTAGCAGACAGGCGAATGCAACGAATCACCATGTCTACTGCGGTAAGTGACTATTTTGTTCCAATTTTCGAGTTTGAAAATTCTTGCTGGTTCCGCCATGATAACTGCACAAATATCGCCACTGCGCTAGCAACAAGCGTGCCTTTCACTGGGGGCGTGTAGCAGTTCTCGCCGTAAAGCAAGACAGATTCTCGCGATGCACGAGACTTCTGAGCCTGTGGGCCAAGGGCCCCCACAATGGCAAGTACGGTATTTCCCCTACAGACCACCAGGGCAGCCGAGAAAACCTTTGTTCGACCTGAAATGACTCATTTAATCATCCAAAACGTTATGGAACACATTAATTAACTGAAAAATGTTGCATAGTATGCCTTTAAGCAACTAATTCGACTGTATGCATAGGAACTAGGGCTGCAACTAACGATTATTTTACAAATAGATTAATCTGTCAATTATTTTTTCGATTAATAATCGGATAGCCAAAGCTTCCATAAGGAAGATTTTTTTAAAAAGTACACCAAAAGAAACCCAAACATTTTTAGGAGTTCTGGATAGAGCATATTGAAAGACAAAAACGTTTTTAAATGCAAAAACTTTATGTATTTTTTATAATCTTGGTATAGTTACTGCTCTAAGTGGGTCGCTCTGTCAGCTAAAGACATGTTTTAGAGTCTCTATACTCCAGTTAATGATTAATCAATAAAATTAATATATATAGATATAGATATATTTTTTATTCTCATTACACTGTCACAAGTACACAGCAACAAAACTCAGTCTCTGCATTTAACCTTTGGGCAGCAGTGGGCTGCCATTGTGTGGCACCTGGGGAGCAGTGTGGGGTTAACGGTCCTGCTCAGGGACCCAGAGTAGCAGTCTGTGGGAGTCGGGCTCGAACTCAGAACCTCTGGATTCCAAGCTTTATGCCCTGACCACTAGGCCACCACCTCCGCAATATGACACTCTTTTCTCTCTAGCCTATAAATAGTCCGACAGATCAGACAGTAAACACCACCAAACTGATACAAACCAACAAGTAAGGAAAACTATCCTAAAAAGGGCTCAGAATTCACCATCAGTCCAACGAAGGATAGGAAGGAGGATAGAAAATGACATTAGCACAAGCTGAACCAGGTCAAATATGCAAATGTTAGCTTTTCACAAAAAAGCGCACCTGCTGGGTCAAATCAGAATGGAGGCAAGGTTGCCATTAAAGAAAGGCCTCTTATCCAGCACCTGGAAACTGTTTTATCCTGTTTCACAGATCATCGCTTAGAGGCTCTAGTTTTAGAAAAAGAAGGACCTCCTTCATCAGGATGTATAATTAAGAGAGTTGGGGAAATAAGAAACATATGCAGAGTCTCAAATATAGTGGAAGTCGCTGCGATGCGCTGTGAGGGATTCAGTCTAAGAACCCTGGAAAGATTCAAACAAAAGAAACCTTGTTAGCTTTCCAGAGCGGCTTAAAACAGAGTAATCCCGCCAGAGGTCATGGCTCAGCCCCAAACATGACTGCAGTAGCAGGGTGCATTTAAGTGAAGCCTAGCATAATCACAACAAGACATCGCACATAAGCAGATAATCGTCATTTTTAAAGTTTAATTATTTGAAGCAAATCAGAGAAAGTTGGTGGAAACTGGGAATACTCAGACAACAAGAAAGACAAACAAAACCCTCCAAAGAAGAGGAGAGAGATAAGAGGACGCAACGTTAAAACTCATTTTATCTTTATTGCAACGTGAACTTTGGCTGCTCTTAGGTTAAAGGTTTACTCTGACTGCATGAAACCTTCTCACCATAGCATGTTCTACCAGGATATGGTTTTCATCTGCATGTGTCAAAGTTAATGAATTCCTTCAGGTAACCCTCGGGGCCATCCTACAACCCTTATTTCAATTTTATGCACAGAGTCATCGAGAGGCCAGGTAACCAAACCTCCAGGAGTCTGCCACCAGCATGAGACAACAGGATCTTTTTACCCTGCAGAAGGAAAACAAAACTCCCCTCAGTGTCTGAGGCAGCATGTTTGGATGCGTGCCTCACAATGGGCTTATTTACATCACAACTACAGTGTGTCTGTGTGTTTGCATATGTGTAAACTTGGAGAGATGTATTCTGGTACGCAGCTGCGGAAAGCTGGTATCTGACAATAAGCACATTCAAACTGCAGCACAACTGTGTAATGAGGAACATGTGTGACTCTGGGAGCATCTTTTAGGAAGGATGCCTCCTTCTGAGATGCTTAGTAGATCAAAGGTAAGCATGCATTTGAATTCAGCAACTTTATTCTAAAATTTAGGGAATATTCATCATCCTCCGACTCTGCAGAATTTGTTAGTTCAATCTCTAACATTCTGCTCTCTCTGCTTTTTCTCATAGTAGCTTCATTTCGTATGTTCCTGTTTGGTTGTGACTCCATCCTGGAGAGAAATATTAGCTGTGCTGCTGCCATCAGCACCTTTGTTTATGGATGTTGGAGATCGGCCTGTTTTCCAGTGTAGTCCTGTTTCTCTTACTGTGAATGGCTGGATGTAGATTTGACCAATCAGGGGCCTCCTGTCTGCCGTCACCTACAATTTTGGAGAGGTGCAGCAGAGTGTCTACGGAAGCGGCGGGGGAACATTTGCATTCTCTGTGAAACACACAGACGACCTGGATTCTGTGTATAAATCAGCCTTTAGTGTGAGGGATTGCATTCGAGTCAATGAGTCGGTGCAATCAACTGGTTTTCCTTAGATAGAAAACTTTGAATCAATTTGATTGGATAATCTGGTGAACTGTTAAGTGCCTTGAGATGACGTGTTGTGAATTGGCGCTATAGAAATAAACTGAAGGAAAAAAATGACGTGTTTTAACAGAAAATATCATTTTTTCTATGAATGACTCACTTTTATGGTCCAAACATCAATCACTGCCAGAAAAAGATATAAAAAGATATCCCACCAACTGCTGCAATACTTGCCTTTGTAAACCTCTGACATTTGCTGTTAATGAATTAGGATTTTAACAAACAGATTTTCTATCCACTTGTTCAAATAAATTCATTCATCCATATCTTTCTTTTCACCTACAATTAAATCAATAATTTGTTTATATTGCTAGATGACAGCTTTGTTCTGCACATTTTGTGACATCTTGCAAAAACATTTGTTCTCAGAGCTTTTCACAGACAAAAAAACAAGCGAAATGTTTGGTGTTCTTTAGGGCATTTGGTTGTTTTGATTTTCCAGAATTAAAAGGCTTTAATGTCGAAGCTTTGTGACCTTGGTCATTCCAAAAAAAAAAAGGAAATTAAAAACAAGTTTTAAGACATTTTGCATCCCATCCAGGAAGCTTTTTCAATTCAAAATGTCAGGAATAGAGTTAAGTTCGAGGTTTTATACCTCAACCCATCAAAACCTTGTTTTTGCTTTGAAAACGTGCCAACTGAAAGAGAAGAAGGGGTCCATCCCTTCTTTTAGGGGGGGTTGTTAATATTCTTTTTTGGAATGACTATGACCTGGATGACTGAGACCTCGGGTAATGAAATATTTAGCTAATGATAGTAATAATAGGAAGATCAACTCTACAACTCTACAATAGGAGAAGGAACATGACTGCAGAACAGTGCTTTTATTAGTCCAGACATTTTGACCAGAGGTGTCATTAGTTTGTTCAGCTGCTTTAATGGGAAACGTTCAGGTTTGCTTCCTCTTACCTCAGTCAAAGCATGAAGCTGGCCCTCATGGACACATACTCCCTTAAACCTGGAAACAAGAAAACAAAGATTTTTTTTTTAAATAGTTGTTTTTTAAATCACAACACTCACAGCAAAGGAATAATAAAACCTTATCCTGGAATATGTGAATGGAGAAACCAGGCAAGACTGGACAGGCGATCAGCTGTAGGACTGTCTGCTAATAACAGCCTCACCTACATTCTTCCCATATCTACCTCTGCCATGCCTATCAATTTCCAAACCTAATAAATCTAACCAGCCACTTTATCGCTATGAAGCTGAAGGTATGGAAGAAAAACAATATCTGCTTTTACAGCCAAATGCTTTAATCAACGAGAAACTGTTACAACAAACAGGTTAGAAAGTGTGTATGTAGAGAAAGCAACACATGGACCGACTCTGTTCATGAGCTGCTTTGAGGGCCTCATAACCCTTCAGGCAGTGAAAAGGTCACATTTCTAGGTCTTTGCTGGATTTTTTAGCAAACAATGACTCCACAGTGTGTTTGTTCACGCAGAGACAAACATACAAGGCACGCTTAACAAAGATTACTTTGTACAAGATGTGTGCATGTGAGGGAGGGAACACAGAAGAATATTTATGCATGTATGTGCAGGCTTGGTCCACACACTCCCCCCCACACACACACACAGAGGCTCAAAGCAAACGCTGGAGAAAACAACAAGCATGTCCTAAACCATCAGTCAGATTCCGATTTTTGTTGTTGTGTCACATGGTTTTTTTAATACATGTACATTTTGAAGTGTTAATAGTAGGATCATTGGACAGGATGTTTACATGGGTATCTATATAGATGGATATTTATATATATAGTTATTGTACTGGGTATCAAATACTAATTGCACATTATGCATTGCACAAGTTACTGCCGTTGTATTGTTGCAGTGTAGAGTCTAGGTTCACCATGCTGGATGCAGATTATATCGGCATTACATCAGAATCAGCCGATGCTCAAACATATTAGATATATAAAGATGGGCGAAATTTTTTATTTCAATCTAGTTTCTGTTTTTTTGTTGTCGTTTTTAAAGCAAACTGCTTGCGTGTTTTTTGTTTGGTTTTATGACAGTGACAGCGATGTAGCAAAGGATTGTGGGTGTTTACCTGAAGCAGAGAAGCAATGTCAGCATTATGGTCCGTTTTTCATGGTGTCAGAAGTGTTACGGATGTATATAGGATATAATATTGGTAAATATCGGACCAAGCAGCGATTTTATTACATTTTCAAATCGTGCATAAATAATTTTATCCATCAAACATTGCTCTGGCCAGGAGTTTACAGGCATTATTGACACATTAATGTTAAAATATAGCTTTGATTTCCCAAATGTAATATTTATTGGACATTTCTTTACTAATGCAAAGATATCTAAAGTCCAGATGCACAGAATATGCCAATATTTGATATCATCTCCAAGCAAATGGCAGAAAAACCTTACAGTTTTTGTCACCTTTTACAAACTTCTGTCATAATCCTGCTACATACATAACAGAATAGTTGGTTTTTGGGCAAATTTACTTTAAATGGTGTCAATACAGGTAAATATTATCCAGTTTGGATTTGTGTTTGGGATCAATGAATCACCCAGCTGTCTCAATCCAATCACCCAGCTGAGGACTTTGGAAGAAAGTTGAACATCTACCTTGTGCAATCTTTGCCCGCCCCACAGCACCATGATGCCACCACTATGTGTGATTTATTAAGGTTGTAAAAGGAGTGTAGCTCAATCAAAGTCTTGACTGAATTCAAATTTTTCTCTAAAGGGATTCAGTTTAATCCTGTGGGCAGATGTTAATCTAAGTCAGGTTTAAATGTGTCAGTTATAGAGCAGGATTTTTTTTCCCTTTTGTTGACGAGTGATTGTAAAATCATCTGTATTTATTACAGAAATGAGCTCTAGTGGTTCTTGTGTTGTTCCTCAGCATGCTAGTGAGCTTTCCCTGCATATCAGGAGAAGGTTTGGGTCCAATGGCTGAAGGTAAGATTCAGCACAACAATATTTCCAAGCATTACGATAAAACTATGTGGAGAACTAAAGGAGCAGGCTGAAAACCCAGAGTTTTCGGCTCAGCAGACAGCATCATCTAAGGCAACTGATTATTTTCCCTTTAGGGTTTTGATCAGAGATTCAATATCATCCAGCCGACAAATGCTATAGCTCAACAATACCTTTAGCTCCACCTAAATGAGACTTAATAAGAAAAAACATATCTTCATTTTTCTCCAGCAAAATATATGATTAGATTTTTCTAAAATGTTGCCGTTTACAGCCTTTTCCTTCTTCCACATAAAAGAAAAATGTCCTGGTTTTTAGCCTCAGTCATCTGCTGCAACGCTGTAGGAACTAGCTGTGCGTTTGGTACAAGTCCTTCCCAAAGGAAACATTAGCTACAGGAGGAGAGATGATGGAAATGTTTGGTGTCAGACTTGACGTTACTTTTAAGGAGAAAAATCAGAAACATGATTCATTTTAATTCCAACAGATATTTACAGTTTTTCTAATCATAGTGAAAATTAGCGACAACGCATCAACAGAGTGGAAAGAATCACATTATTTCCTAACTTTGGGTATAAATGGCATTAATAGGGATTTAATGTTGGTCTAAAGTGCAAAACAGAGATTTGGAAGCAGACATAAAAAGAGAAAAATATTAGAAGCCGTTTTATTACGGGGAGCTTAGTTATTTTCTAGATTACAAACCTGAGTATGTTTGGATGGCAGAGTCGATTCATTAGCTGGACCTCTCTCAGCATGTTCGCCCTGTTGCTGCTGAGTTTGTTCATCTTCAGAGCCATAACTTGGTCCGAAGCTTTGTGACGTACCTGAAAAGCAAACTCGTTTCATTTCAAGCTTCAAAACATTCAGTAATGTCAAAACAGATCCTCATAATGGAAATATTCAAATAACAGTCATGGTAAAAAGAACGCACATAGTCTTTGGATAAATCAGATACATCATGTGCATAATTAGCTCTAAAACACTGATCTTCAGAAGGTGATAAAATTCTTTAAACCTTTTCTCAACACAAAATTAATACAAAACAGAGAACATTGCAGATGATTATGGCAAAACTCTGAAATGCGTACGAAAAACCGTTGCGTTTCCGAATTCTCCCTAGTGGTGCCCGACTTTACACGAGTGAATAAAGTGAATGTGATTGGTTGTTTATCAAGGGGGCGGGACTTTAGAAACGACACTGTGAAGGAACGCTATGGACAGAGGAAACATGCAAGAGGAGGAGAGTTTTGTGTCGGAGGTCGTGGATGAGTCTCCTCCATCATACAGTTTTTATTTAGAGGAGGAAAGCGGGGACGAAGATGTTGTTGAAGAAGACACCAGGGCGGCAGAAGCTTGGTTTGGTGTAGAAGGCTTACAGCCGTACATGTTTGAGCCCTTGTCTCGCAACGCTGCCAGTTCTGTTAGCTCTACGCCTGCTGAAGACACAGACGTCCATCCCCATTAACACTGGGACGGAACTCAATGAGAAAGGAAATTATTCTTATTTCAAGCATTGCGTATATTAGCTGCGACATATGAATCAAGATGCTATGACCGAAAAAATGGGATTGACAGATGACCGTTGATATATGATTGGCCGAATTTAGGTGTACAAGCTGACGTATAACTAACTGGCCTGCAAAAAATAACGAAAAAAAAGAAAAACACATTTTAACACAGGATTTTTTATTTATTTTTTTATAAACATTTTCTACATTTTGGGATACATATCGTCTGACAAAGAGCACATTTATATACATTTTAAAGCCATAATGATTTGACATTTAAATATGATTTCCCTACAACTTTGTATTTCTGACAGCAACACATTTCACTGTTGCTGCCTCTGCTGCTAATTGCTGTTATATTACAGTTTTGAGTTACAACTAGAAAAGTCCTTGGTAGCTTGTTAAAAACTCTTCTGTAATTAAAGCTTCCAAAACATATATTTGGCACACGCACTGAGAAACCAGAGGAAGCGAATAAAGAAGGCCGCGCAAACAAGCGAAATGAGGTCAGACACTGCTGACCAGCCATGAGGACAAAGTACATGTGTCATTTTCAGAAGCCGACAATCCAGTTAGTATTGTTGTGCATCAGGACTGTCTCGGTTTTTAAAAAGCTGTCGCATCAGCAGTCATTTATCTATGGTTGACCGGACTTCACCGTGCAGAGGGTGAAAGTCAATGCAGAGAGATGCAGACTGCAGCATCATCACAGATGTAAACGCTTTGAGGTTTGGGCTTAAAAGAGCAGGACAACTACTTGGAAATATTATACTATTTGACTCTCAGATACAAAAAACATTGTAAAAAATTATATAAATACACAAACTTTCTTTCTCCCATTCTTAGTAAACACTTAAAACTAAACTGAATTCTTCTGGGCCTTCCCCATTTTATGACACCCTTTCAAATAGTTTGTCATCGAACCGAAAATGCAGTTGAGTTAATTTCACTGATGCATTAGAGCAAATAGGAAATATCAACCTGCAAAACCACTGAGAGCAGCTCTCAACGTGAACGTGCTGCTGCAGACAGACCTACACTTGCTTACTCATTTCCTGGAAGCAGAAACATTCATAGATCAAGATGAAACTAATCTGATACAACACCACTGTAGCTTAGACTGCAGACTGAAAGTTAGGTGCACACACTTCATAAATGTCAAAAATAAAAGCAAATGCATCCAAGCTATGAAATGACAGTGAAGTACTTATTTCTGTTACTGCAGATCTGAGTTGGAAACCATCACCTCAGCCATCACATTGTCTCAGCAGCGTTAAAATCACATGTGATGTGTGATCACCTAATTTGGAGCTTCACATAATGTAGAGCAGAGGTCCCTAAACTCTTCAGCTTCTGACCCACAAAACGGATCAAAGGTCGACCCATGGCCAACGCTATTGGTTTGGTTTTCTATCATTTTTACAAAATCAATTAGAGTTCATAGCTACATTTGCATCAAAACAATAATTTCTTTACAAAAAGAATATATATTTGCAGAACTTCTAGAATGATGCATGAATAAAACTATTAAATGCACAAAAATATACTATATTAAATTATATATATATATATATATATATATATATATATATATATATATATATATATATATATATATATATATATATATATATATATATATATATACACACACACACACACACACACATCAACAATAAATAATAAAAAACACATCAACAACCCATTTTGTAAAATTCTAACATAAATTATTATAGTCTTATTAAGGGTGTGAGAAAAATCGTTTTGGCAATATATCATGATCTTTGGCTGCCTGATATAATATCAACCCTTTAGTTCCTAGTGTCGATTTTTTTAGGCAAAACATTTTTACTTAAAACTGAGGGAAAATGGGCTACTCAGAAAGATGGCGCTGTGGAGCCCTGAGCTGTGTGGCGCAGCGCCATATCTGTAGTTGAGGCAGTCACAGTGGAAGACGTGGACTGACTCAAACCCCAAACAACGCACATAAAAAAATATAATATTTTATTACAAAAATAAAAGAGGTGGCTTTCTTATACATAAATTTCATTTTGATAGGAGGAAAAATAGCGAAATATTTGGTTAGTGTATCGTGACACGTATGGCGAACTTCGGCGGCGCTGGCAGGATTGCTTATCTTCCAAAACAACATTGGCGTGCCTGCAAGATATCACGGTCACAGAGATGGATCTGGAGTTGCTAGACATTGAAGAGGAACAGGTTCTGTTAGTGTAGTTGGCAAAAAGACTGATTAACCTTGCAACGTAGTTGTCCATTGTAGTTGTTCCTTGGTTTTTTTAAAATGGCGCTGGGGGCTGCTGGCTCATTTCTGGCGGCCTCTCCGCTGGCCCCGGCCGGCCGGGGCTTTGCTGGGGCTCCTGTCTAGGGGTTGGGCGCCCTTGGGGCGGTTGCGGTCTGCTCTTGTTGCGGTTTTGCGCCAGGCGGCTTTTCTGCTGTTGGGTTGATTCTGTGCGCGGTGTGTTGCATTGCGCGCTTTTGGCATCGGTCTTGGTGGGGTGGGGCTGCGCTTCTAGCCAGGGGGGTGTTTTGGGGGGGTCCTGCGGCGCTCGCGGCCGGTTCGCGGCGGGGCGGGGGCATGTTTCGGTGCTCTGTGGGGCTGGGGCGTTTCAGTCGGTGCCGTGGGGGGGCCGGTGTTCGGTGCCCGGCCCTACTTCAGGGTGGCCGGCTTCCGGCGGACCCCGTGGACTCGTCCCCGCGGCTCCTCGGGGCGCCGGCATGGCATTGGCTGGGGGGCTTCTTCGTGGCTGTCTCTCCTCCTCCCTTGGTGGGGGTCTGATTTCCGGGGCTGGACCCTCCTTGGTGCCTTCGCTCTTGGGGTCCCTTTGGGCGCCTGGGGCTTTGGGTCTCCCGGCTCTGGGGGGTGTGCCTCTCCGGCTCTCCACAACCACTATTGAGCATTTTTTCTATGGTTAAAACTTTACATGCACAAGTTCACCCTCACAAACAACTACAGGTGCTAGGCTTCAGGTACTTAGAGATTCACTTCCAAACAGAAACCCCACATTCATATCTTCAGGTAACACAGAGTACATGGCAGACTTAATATTACTTTAGCGATAGTTTCAAGGTATTGCTTTATTGTATATCTACCGTGTCGTGTCTTTCGGTTGTGCTGTTCTTTTTTTCATCTCTTTACAGGTGATGAAGCAGACTGAAAATGTTTTGTCATTGTCTCCTTTCTATCTCCTCTTTCATCTGTTCTCTTTTTTTCCTTTTTCTTCTTGTTTTTCTTGTTCTGTTCTATTTACATTGCAGTGTCCATATAAACTGTAAAACTCCCTGCATAATTATAATAAAGCAATTTATATGCATGAAACAAGTGGAGCAATATGGCAATTGCCATACTGCTACACTTGTGAAAGTAAAATCTGTTGGGCTCTTTTTGGCATCAAGACAATTATTCTTATTGCCACATTGCCAGACAGGACACTGTTAAAAAAAATAAAATAAAAAATGGCGCGCCCCCGTACCGAATCGAGAAGGATGACCACACAGACAGCTGGAAAGGCATACCAAGGACCAATCACAGCTGCTCAATACTGCTAAGATACATCAAGCTATGTTAAGCTTGGATAACTCAATGGGAAAGTAAATGATTCTTATTTCTTATTTCAACCGTTGCGTATATTAGCTGCGACATTTGAATCATGACGTTATGACCGAAAAATTTGATTGAGAGATGACCGGTGATATATGATTGGCCGAATTTAGGTGTTCAGGATGACGTATAACTAACTGCCCTGCATAAAAATAATGAAAAAAAAAAAAGATTTTAAGACAGGATTATTTTTCTTTTTTAATAGAAATTTTCTAAATTTTGGGACAATATCGTTTGATAAAGAGTACATTTATATACATGTTTAAGCCAGAATGATTTGACATTTAAATATGACTTCCTTACAACTTTAAGCTTAGAGAAAGTGACTTCAAATGAGAGCTGAAAACGCCTGATATACTGGGATTTTCTTTGGGAAAAAAAAAATTTCTCTCTCCAGTTTACAAAGAAAGGTCCAAAAGTAGGAAACAACCAGTAAGTGGATGAGAGGGGGAAAAAATACGCTGTTGATGCCCGAGTAGATTCAAGATGATGGAAAGGCAACAGTGGCTAAAAAAGCTCAATACTGCTAAGATACATCAAGCCATGGTATGCTTGGATAAAGCAGCAGAGAAATTTAAAAATATGGCTATGATTTAACAGTAGTATTGAGTAATGAATTAATTCAGAGCAGTGGCCTGGTGGGTCCTGGGGAGGCAGCTTGTTCAGAAGACGCTTAGCTCCACAACGCTCTCTTGCT